GGATCTTGCAGGTGAGTAGGGATAGCGGTTCAGAATATGGTGTGAAGAAATTTGGGATCCTGAGGTCCATATGGGGCAGTGTGGTATTCGGGTAATCCTGATTAGAGATAACAAGATGTTACTGTAAGGGATTTTTTGATCTTCCTTTTATGTCCTGTGCCCGATGTGTTAAGTTATTTCATATCTGCCCCTCGACTTGCAATTACCGGTGAAATTGCGTGACTTGGCCGGCAGTCGTGTTGTATAGTGAGGGGCATGTGTGGAAGTACAACAGATATTGGCGCAATTTGGAGACAAACCGCGCGAGAGTGGGTATATCTTACAGGAATCCACAGAGAAGGGTTTATGGTACATGATCTATAGAGTTTGGTCCATTCCTCTTCTCTTCTCTTATCGCTACCTTACGAGTATATTCCCCTACCACCACCTATCCTCACCACCATTAGGGGTTTTCAAAGTTAAAGGATGACTTCTCAGTAACACGAAAAGCGGGAGGATGCATTAGGTTACTTCAATCATACCCTCATGTTTGGGGTAGCATATTTGAATACACCCAAGGACAAAAGTGTCGTTGATGAGGTGGTATCATACTTAGAGACATCGCATAAACTCAACAAAAAGTCACAATCAAGACATTTTTGAGAATGTGGATAATTATTTCTAAAGTCAGTGACAATATTTTGGGTTTTCTGCTTCACGTATTGTTTCTAAGTTTTTGATATGGTTCGGTTAGACAAAGTTCCGTGTCTCTACTCGTACGGGTACAATAGGAGAGTTTAGCGGGCCCGGGGCACGGTTCGCTGAGACAAGCCCACCTAGGCGGTTATATACCCGCCTAATGTCCTGTCTTTGAATGGTTCTTAGGTGGTAGCAAGAGCTGGTGGGGTGAATTTTTGAATGGAGGAGAGATATCAAGGTTTCAAGAAAGTTGTGGGGGGGGGACCGAGGTTAGAGGTTTTGTTAGGAAATTAATCGGGATCAGTACTAGTAAAGTACACTTTCCCCACCGGCCCATACCGCTATCGTACTATTATATATCAATGGAAATGGACTCTTGTAAAAACGAACGAGCACAGTTAGGGTAGGGCTAAGGAGCTATTCCATTTCTTTACCCTAGCGAACTATTCCCTGGATCTCCTAAATTCTCCTAATAGCCTGGTTGAGATACTGGGCCTCGGACCAAAATTTCGGGAAATATTAGGACCTGTTCGGTGTGCAACGATGTAATATAAAAAGGCTAGATTTTTTTTTTTTTGGCTTATCATAAATTATGACGCTGTCGGGTTAATTTAGTGACGTTTGCGTTCGTCCCGGGACGCTATCTATCTTTACTCTACCCCGTTCTGACGGCGGCTATCTATGTACGAGTACAATACGTAGTCTGCCTCTTGTTTCCCTGAACATTGATCTAATTCTGGGCGGGTTTACTCCTCCTCAAAGATGAAAACAAGGCTGGCCAGGTGGCCACATGGGGGCAACCCTTCCAATGGATCGGGTCTTCGTTGAGCTAGGCAAGGTCACAAGCGCGGCCTGACCTATCCCCGAAAACCTAGCGGTGTTTCTACAAGAGCGATTATCCAAGCATAGGGGTGTTCAATCTATATTTTATAGTATCATACTCGAGTAGGGGGGCAAAAGATGTGTAAATTAGGATGATTTCAGAGGAGCTCAACAGGGAAGGTTCTAGATGTATATCAGTCATGGGGTGCCACTCATATGAATCTCTCAACAGTTCAACCCACGGGTCTAAAAATAAACCCACTGGACTTCTTCAGATCCACAGAGTCGAGAGCTTCCACCCACCCCGGTTTGTTGTGATTCCTTCCCGTATCGAAACAGCTAGCCACAGACATGAATTCTTAGAATCTTCATCCTAGTGCCCTCTCTGTCCTGCCAACTCGGGGGGAGTGTTTTTGGCAAACGGTACCGGTATTTTAGAGCCCAATGGGGAATCGGTTCGACATCTCTTGGGCTAATGGGGGGAGGGCATGAGGGGATTGAGAGATTATTGCTTGAAAGTCACTCGCTCAATCCCAACACCGCTGATACAATAATATTATCGGTATGTGCCAAACGTGATTATTACCGGCGCGAGGGAAGTGCATGAAGGAGTGCTAAATACTATAATCTTAGGTCGTATAACTTATGTGTTGGTCGTGTACGATAACACGTATATGACACTCTAAGACTAATAGATAGTTCCTTTGAATGGCAGAGTTTCGCGTGACTTATGGGGTTGTTTCCCTTTGCTACCAGATAGTCCGTCAGCTCAAACTTGGAATTCATTCATTTTTAAGTCTAAACTATATTCCGTTCAATCCTGACTACCAGCCTTAACTTACCACAAAAAACAGCGTCCAGATACTAATATTTTCAGGGAATTTGAAAATACTACTGGGGCGGAATGACGTCAATCCCGGCACCACCAACACTATATATGGCCCAACACTGCCCCTCCCGCGTGCCATGAGAGAACGCAAGAGTCTTGGAGATGGTGCTATCATTTCACACCATATACCGCCAAACGCCGCTCTCATGGGCTGCCAGCGAGGGGCATGAGGAGGTGGTGAGGATGCTACTGGAACGGAACGATGTCAATCCCAACACGGCTGACAGATATGGCAGAACACCTCTCTGGTGGGCTGCCAGCAATGGTCATGAGAGGGTGGTAAGGATGTTGCTGGGACGGAGCGACGTCGATCCCGACGCAGCTGACTCCCTACGTGGCAAAACTCCGCTCTCGCTGGCTGCCGAGAACGGGCGTGAGGGGGTTGTGAAGATATTATACTACTTGAACGGAACGATGTCAGTCCCAGCGCAACTGACAGATGTGGTGAAACACCGCTCTCATTGGCTTCCGATAATGGGAATGTGGGAGTCGTGAAGATACTGCTAGGACGGAACGACGTTAATCCCGACACACCTGACAAATGTGGCCAAACACCGCTCTCGTTGGCTGCCGAGAATGGGCGTGAGGGGGTCGTGAGGATATTGCTAGGGCGGAACGACATCAATCCCGACATAGCCGATAAACATGGGCGAACGCCTCTCTTGTGGGCTGCAAAGAATGGGTATGAGGGGACCGTGAGGATATTGCTGGAACGGAGCAACATTAATCCCAACACAGCCGACCGCCTAAGTGGGCGAACGCCGCTCTCGTGGGCTGCCGTGAAAGGATATGGGAGGATCGTGGGGATACTGCTGAAACGGGGCGATATCAACCCCGACAAACCTGAAAAAAATATGGCCGAACACCGCTCTCGCTGGCTGCCGAGAATGATCGTGAGGAGGCTGTAAAGAGACTGCTGGAACGGAATGACGTCAACCGCGACACAGCTGACATTTGCGGCCGAACGCCTCTCTCGCTGGCCGCCGGGAATGGGCTGGAAAGAATTACAAAATTGCTGCGGGAATGGGGAGACTTAATTCCCAGATAGGCAGCAAGCTTGCGACCTCTCCTCCGACCGGGCTATTTGAACTCCTGTCTAAATGGACCTCTCCATTTGTATATCCAAGCACAAAACCCAACACTTCTCCCCTCATCTACTAGACGTACCCTCCGGGCATCTTAAGAATTGAAACCTACATCAAGAACTTGTTTCAAAAGGTTATTTGCTATCACACCCATAATACCTGGTGCATGGTAGGATAAGGGAATATCTGATTGCTACCCCAAACCTTCACTGTGACCCTGATTATAGATGTTTGTGGCCAAAAACTTTTTTTCTTTAGATGGCGTGTCCGGTTGACACTGAGAGGCAATAGTCAAGGTGTGTGATAGTAATAATAGATTCAAAATGAAGATTCCTGAAATATTGGCCTTATAATAATTCTCTACCCTGTCCACAAGCAGCTATGCAAGGCCCTCGCCTGAACACCACCTGTAATTGGCGGAGATGAATGGCGTGATGACTCAACCTCATAATTCCTTGCGCGAGTCTATGAGCAAGCCAGCTCAGGATTACTCGCAGAGCTTGTGGTGGGATGTAAATCGATAGGAAGCCGTGCACGCAAGTCAATCAAGTATCGTATCGGTAAGGATGCCTATACTAGGGTAGGAGGAGTTGCTGGGAATGAGCACCGTCTCCTGATATTGAAACATGTTAGTCTCAAGCCAGTTCTACTAAATGCTTAATATCCTGTTCCGCAGTTAAAAGTACGATAAGGGAACCAAAACCTTGAGATAGGAATTCGTTGACTAATTCAAATAAAGCAACAACTCGCAATGGAAGTGTGGCAGTACTGTACGCAGCATATTTTCCCTTCTGCGCCAAAAATGCTCAATTTTAAAGAATTTTACTAGTCCATTAAGGCCTTTCATAACTACAAGAAAGGAAAAAACCGACTACTGCGTTCTCCTTCAAATCCCCTATCTCGTAGTGGTTTTCTCGAATCAATGAGTGGGTTTGGTGGGGTCGTATGGCCTTTTGAAAAGTACTGTATCAAACTCAGAATCCCGCGCATGTATTGGAGCGCACGAACCATACATATAAGATAAGGCTTAGCAACAGCTCCGAAAACCACCGTGAAATTTGCTTCCCGCCATTATCTCCCTTATCGGAAACCGGAAATTGTGGGATTAGGGGTCATAAAGAGATTATTTTGAGTGGATCGGCAAAACGAGGATAATAAATTATATTGAATTCAGTGAAGCGATTTTGATCTTTCGAAGGGTGTGGCTGTGCTTGTGGAATCCCTAAAAATTAACACCGCAGCGACCCTGGAGAACCCCGAGTGCTTGGCGAAATGACATACTCTAGGGAACACGGGGGGCAGCGGTTTAGGAATCCGGGGGCGGCGGCAGCGGAGAGTCTAACACTTGGACTCACTCGAGCAGCTACGAGTTTGATATTAGTGTGTTGCTATTAATTAAGGCTTGTGCCTGAATGGCTCATTGGGAGCGGTTACGCCAAGCATGCGGCTCTGCGGTTACTTCCGTGATGACTAAATGTCATCGCTCACGATCAGCACGAACCGAACGTCAACCTCCCACGTCAATAATGTCCTCCGGATTTGTCTCTGCCGGTACCGCCATTCCAGAAGACACGTCTAGCGAGCCCCCACGCCTTGACCCATGGAGTGCCGCCCAGGCGGCTGTCGAAGCGGCTAGGAATCCGAAAGAGGAGGAAGCTCAGGACGACCGATGCTTGTACGAGATCCTGCAAGCGAATAAAGGTATTGCATTGTATCCATTGTATCCACATAAAAGGGGAGTAGCTAATCGTGATGAGTCGGTAGCAAAGAAGCAGGAAGAGTTTGAAGAAAAGTTGAAGTTTAAGAACCAGTTCAAGACACTTGACGAGGATGATGTGGACTATCTTGTAGGCCCCCCCGCGCTTGGAGTTCCTTGGGCGCTCCAGGATTAATTGGCACAGGACTCAATTCTGAAAACGGAAAAGGCTGTGGAAGATGCGCGGAAGGAGGAACTTGAGAGTCGGCTTGATGATTTCCGAAGACAGCAGTCAGAGGCTGATAAGTCTGGCGGTGGAGAGGGCGGCGATCAGGATATGGCTGTGTGGGCTACCGGGAAAAAGAGGAGAAAGAAGGAGGTGGGGGGTAGAACTTTGGGATTTAAGGTTAGAAGGAAGAGTTCTACGACTGGAGAGAAGCCGTTGGAGAAGGATCTCGGAAAAGACAAAGAGGAGGTGCTTGCTCCAGACCCGAAGGTGGAAGATAAATGGACGGGAGATAAGGGTGCTAGTATAATGGGCCTTGTAGCTTATGGTAGTGACGAAGATGACAGTTGATGGTAGGACAAGTTCCTAATTGTCTACAATCTATCCTGTAAGTCGATAGTTTGAGACATTTGTTACTTTGAAGTGTTCTGGTTGGCTGGTAGAGATTTTCGTCTTTTTTTTCTTTCTTGGAGTAGGTATTAGTCATATTTGAGTACTGTACGCTAAGCCCATTAGTTTAAAGGAGGGGACATTGGTGAAGAGGGTGGGTAGGGTTTCGGGGTAGTGAACAATGTCATGGAAATAATATCAGATATCATAAGTTAGTTTGATATGTATCATATGACCGATTTTCTTTCCTTAGAATGTCAATACAAAACTGTGCTAAAACTGAGTACAGCAAATAACTAAACATTATAGCCTATTTTGTCAAATCGCTTTCCCTATATTATGTCGGTGACTTGCTACTTCGAGCTCTTCGGGGACTGAGTAAGTTAATCACGGTAGTCATTCTACAAGTAACCTATCATATATCATACATGGAGCACAGATATACCTCCGAGAGTAGTGCTGTACATGAACCGCATATATGATGCTGGCCCCCCACCCAAAATCATAACTAAGGCACCAATTTGTTGTCAGCGCTATCGGCCTCACTCCGCACCCATTTCCTTCCTTCGAAATGTTAGAGCCCCGCCCGGGGGATGTGACAAATAGCGTTCAGTAGTGCACAGTCCTAACGCAAACACAGGCCAGCTCCTAAGCATCGTACCAGCACCCCCCCAACAACGACATTACCCCTCCCCACAATATGGGATGAAACACCACGACAGGGTGGCCCTTCCATATCGGCGTCCCGCTTCCCTAAAGAGTATATACCATGCGGGCCCATCCCAGGGTACCTGCGCGATTCTGTAAACTTCACCAAATCAAGGAACCGGCACACCTCCCACTCTCTTCTAGAACTTTCTCTAGCACGCATACAACACACCGTCTTCTCACATGTGCAGGGTACTGTGCCAGCTTGTGTACACTCGCAACGGCGGCTCGCAGCACCCGAGGTATCATATCCCATCAGTTCCCGCCCCGGATAACAATGCAAGGACCCTTTCTCGAGAGATCCCTTTTAATCTAGTAATAGCAAATCCTATATTCACATTCTTTCCCATCAGGTATCTCGTGCAATCTCCCGTTCGAAGACTATCAAGACTTTGCGAATTAGAAGTTACGAGAACCTTGCGGACCTGAATGTAATCTAGGGTATTGAGTTGCCGGCGCGGTGCTGTTTTCGTTTGCATTTTTCAAAGGTGACGGAATTTGGGAAAGGTTGTGCTGCTGCTCTACCTGGGGAGTGTGGTCCACCCCACCCCCAAGAGTCGTGTTTGCTTTCTGTGACGGTAGGTACTGTGCAACACCACGTATCACTCGGGTTTGTACAAAAGTTTATGGAATAACTGCGTTTTGTATTTGGTGGCAGGATCTTAGGACCAAAAAATCAGCTATTGAATCGTGGCGCGCTGTTCTCTGCAGAGAGTGAGAGTCGAGTTTAATTTGCTCGTCCATTCTTATCAACGGTGATCGTCCCCGGGGGCAGACAGTCAATCTCGATGAAGTAAATTTATGACTGTAGAAAACTGCGATAAGGGACCAAGCGCACTCTAGCCCAGCCCCTGCGGCGCGAATACACCTTCCTACTCCTCACCTCCGGTGAATGCGCCCAGTATCACAGACCAATTTTACACTCATCTCACCCTAAGTCTAACCTAGCCTGGTATCGTGATATCCATATGGTGCTCGGGGGAGACATTTGTGTTTAATTTTTCGGAGGATTGTACCGCCCTTCCGGATAGAAGGCTTTGGGAGCCGGGGGGGGTATAGAAGGGAGAGCAGTGACGATTAAAAGGGCGGAGGCTCTGGCATCACTCTCGATAGAAATTTATGATTGTGGGATTTTCACGACAAAAGGGGGAGGAGAATAACAAGCAACTTTTAGTATCATAGATATTATATCTGAAAATACGATTATGAAGAGAAGCCAAAGTAGAGAGGAGTGTAGAGTTCGGCCTGGCTATGGGCACTTTGAGGAAGGAAATGAGGAAGCAATGAAACTCATTTTCGCGATAGGGAGAAAGAAAGAGTAGGAGTAAAAAAAAAACAAGGCCTCCGTAACATACCACCAATTATCCCAATAAGCAGTTATCCATATCCCTAGAGTTCCAGCACTATAATACCGTCCCATATCCCGCCTATGACAACAAACCCTTGACAGCTTTGGTGACCTTTTCAAAGGAGTCCTTCAGCAACCCAACCTTCTTCGGAGCCCCGGCTCCCTCCTGCGCATCTACTCCAGCCATGGGCTCGCCTTCAGTAGCAGGAGAGGTGGTAGTGGTGATTTCCCTTTCCTTCTCTTTGCCAACTGCCTTGTCCTTCCCCTTACTCTTTGCGAAGAAGGGGGAGCTTTTCAGCTTTTGGGTGAAGCTGCGGATTGGGGCTATACCCACCAACTCCAATTAGCCATCCATTCAGAAAAAATGTTAGGAGGAGGGAATCAGAAAAGCAAATACATTTCGCGACAGAAGCCCCAGCAGGCGCAGAAGAGGAATTAGTCTCAGTGATTACGTCGGGAGAGTGCTGGTCGGATGAGGGCATAGCGAGGGTGGAAGCTTCATTGGGTTTGGAAGATTGGGGCTCGGAGGCGGAAGTGTTTGTAGCTGTGTCCATGTTTGTTGAAATTGATTTGTCTGGGGGAAGGGGGATTGAAAGAATTAGGATGTTTGCTCAAAAATATCGAAGGAGGTGGATAAGGGAAGGGGGGGAGAAGGAGGGGAAGGTACTTTACCGGTGTTTGTGTGTTTGTTGATGATGAATGTTTGTATGTCACCTATGTTCAAGGAGGCGTAGGAGAGGGGGAAGGAAGAGGTGGGGAGGAATTTTGAAGGGAGGGAAGGAAGGGAAAGGAAAGGAAAGAAATTTGCGGGTAGAAGGTGAAAGCTGTTGTGCAAGCTTGCGTGGCTGCATAGAATACCCCGATGACAGCCGCCCAGGGTATTTCGCTGAGGGCACAAATTAAGCTTCTTGTGCGGCACCCTCCCTCAAAATTCTAAGAAGTGAAAGGTTTTGACTGGTCCTCGAACCACAATGTCCCACCCATAAAAATCACCTTGTAGCCTTTGACATTTGGCTTGAGGCAATAGGGTTTGCTGGAAATTCTCCGATTGGTTAGGGCGTATCATATTATTGGTTGGTGTATGCACATGATTCGAGTCGGATACTATGATAGTGCTGGTTCCTTAGTATGATAGCATCTTTTCATTAGGAGCTCGTAGTCTATGCTTTCCCCACTTGACGAAGTAGCCCCTCAGCTTGTGATCGACAGAGAGTTTGTTTGCCTACGTCAGTGTCATGGATTATGATTCGTTGGAGCCCATAGCTGGGGATGTCTTGACTCTTGACTGCCTAGTCAGGAGTTTGGAGTGAACCTCAACCGCAGTTTATTAAGGCAACGCCCTCGGACGAGCGGACAGACTCCGATAGGTGTCACTGGAGGCGCTATTTTTCGAGTATAATAGGTTCCTAGTTTGACTACTGCAAACAAAGCTCCCCCTCTATACATAAAAATCCCACCAAAAAATCCCGAAAACCCTCGAAAGGGAGAACAGTAATATACAGGAACCTCTACACCCATTTTTTTAACCAAACATCAAGATATACATATATGCCACAACCACCCGCAATGCTCCCCGGCGTCGGAAGGGGGACCGGCCCCACAGGTGCTGTACAAAAATGGCCTAATTAACGACCCCCTCCGCCCCAACGGTGTCGTCAAGCGGCCCACCAGCCCTACGCTTGAAAGCAACTTTGACCCCATCAAGAACAACGAGCAACAAGAACACCCCGCGAATCTTGCGCTCGTCAACAAGCTCAAACTCAAAGTTGAGAAGAATTTGGGCAGTAACCTTAATAATATAATCAGTCATTACTCTGCCGGAAAGAGAGGAGGGCTCCTCGAATGCAACAAAGAAAGATAAACCTTAACAAGTTGAACCAGCGCAATGTTCTTCCCCAAGCACGCTCTAGCACCCTGGCCGAAGCTGAGTCCGTATTGGTCGAGTTTGAATGCACGCTCAGGGTCCAACCAGCGCTCCGGCTTGAATTCCAAAGTATCCTTACCCCAGAAATCCTCATTTGCGTGGACACACCAAGCGCTCATTCCGACAGTCGTTCCCTCAGGAAGGTAGTACCCACAAAGGGTACGACCACCGGCAGGGACTGCACGAGGGAGGTTGAAACCTGCGGGAGGGTGAAGACGGATGGTCTCTTTGACAATTGCGTGGAGGAGCGGTGCGCCGGCGAGTTCCTTCCAGGTTGCTGGGTTGGAGAGCTTTAAACCGGTCAATTCGGCCATGACTTCGTTGTGGATGTTTCTGTTGCGGACGAGGTTGATCAAGATTGCGCGAAGAGCAACCGAAACGGTGTCTGGGGCGGCAAGACTAGAAAGATTAGCTTTAGAAAATATACAGGGAGGAAAGGTGTAATACATGAAGATGTAGGAATGGTTTCTAGAGAAAAACGTTAGCTTGTAATCGCAAATCAGAGGACTTGGAAACGTGCGCAATCTCTCCCAGGGGGAGGGTATGTCCATCTCTATACCGCGATCGAAGTAGCCTATCCAAAAGATCATTACGTCCAGAAGGGTTGCCGTTGTTCAAGCGTTTTTCAATATTTGTCTTGATATTCTATATAATTTTTCAGCTCACCTACTCCTACAATCACAACAAATCAACCGGAATATGACGTACCCTAGCGTAATGATTCATCCCAATCTTCTTAACCCATTGGTTTTGTGTAACCGGCCAAATCCAGGGAAGGTAAGACCTATCTTATTAGAATTTTCAGAGCAGGACCGGGTGGTCAAGAGGCTTACAAGAAGGGACTCAAAAGCAACATCTGTCTCAAATCCTTGAGGCTCCCGTCGACGTCAAGACCAGTCTTGCAGAACCCGTATGCCTCTCCAAAAACCAGATCGGTGATCATATCATAAGTAAAGTACTCGCTCCAAATAGTAAAGTCACAGACAACCCCCTTCTGGGCAAAGTTCTTGTCAAGCACGAGTATGAAGTCCTTGATAACATTGTCAAAATGGGACTCCGCCATGAGGGTTGTGGTCATGCTATAGTCTTTGGCAATTGCGCGACGCCCTTCGGCATGTGTTTGGATATCACGCTCGACGGCAAGGTTAAAAAATCCATTAGGAAGAGCGATGTCGTACCTAAACGGTGTAAATGATGGTCAAGGCGGTGAGGAATGATAAACTCACATATCACACTTTGCATAACCTTTATCTCCATGCGCATATATCTCGCTGGTAACTCGGGGATCCCAGATAGAGACTTCGTTTGGGGCAATGCGAACAACATCACCGTACCTGCGGTGAAGGTTTGTCAAGTGGTGATGAAAATTCTCCTTCAAAACCGCGTACCAGAAGCGGTAAAGTGGAGAACAGGATGCGAGCCACGGGCCGGGAACATGCTTCAAAGGAGTATCATTCCTGACCTTGTGAAGGTGAAGACCAAGCTTGACCAGTATGTAAACAAAAACGACTCCAAGAATCCCAGGAATAAACGAGCGTAGGTGATCCCATTGAGATTCGGTGGAGAGATTAGTCAAGAGTGCAATAAGGTACTTAGCCATGGTGTTTCCGGGTCCTGTTGTCTGAGTCGGAGCCTCCAGGTGAAGATCCTGGAGTGTAGACTCAACAGAGCGGATAATTTTGGCCATGATAATCCAATAACTTAATATACCGCTAAGCAAAGTAGAGCCAAAATCGAAGCAAGATAAGGCGGGAAGAGGTTACCGTTAAGAGAGTGTGAGGTGCGAATCTATAAAAACAAGTGTGCTTGGAAGTGGGTGGAAACGGCACGAGAGGAGGAAGGAAATGTGGGGACAGGATCCCGACTAAATATGTCTCTGAAGAGGGATTAGCGGAGATAAGCCCTAAAAATTTCATCCGTAGTACGATAGCAGGGGATTTTCCACGAAATTCTCTACACGATGGTTAAGGTTTGCATCGTAGCCTTGAAGAGCAATCGGTTTCATTCAATGTCCCAAATCAAGCACGCTGGAAGCGGATAAACGGGAAGTTTCTGGATAGCACCTTTGATAGCAGGAACGAAAGATACAAAAGAGGAAGTGGATATGCAAACAAGCGGTTGGACCGCTCTTTGTAAAAGCTTTCAACCCACTTGGGCTTCTATCAAATTTTCACATACGATTCTGATTCCTGCCGAGAATCGTAAAATCTCAGAATCGAAATACTGAATGAAGTGGTAGCCCAGCTCACAGGCAAAAGTTGTAATATCAAGTACTAATCGGGCGAAGCCAAATCAGATACTGGAGTAATTTGCCCCCCACTCCCCCACGCCACCCCTCTTCAGATTTTGATTCTTAGCCGGTTTGGGTACTAGAATAGTTGGGGAAAGCAAAATAAACTGTCACATGACCTCCGGATATAGTCAGTATTGTTGGAACAGCAGAGTCTACCCTACTCTAGTAATACCCAGGAAATGAGTGGCAGCGGAATGACGAAATAACACGTTGGTATTTTGTGTTCGTGCAAGTCGTAGGAAAAAATGGATCTTTTCCAGAGGTCTGTGGTCTGCTCTATATACAGGAAAACAACATCTGCCAAGATGATCTAGCTCACTCAACTATCTTGGGCTATGCCCTATCATATACTAACTAGTCTGTTCCACAGATCTTTCGTTCAACCACACTTCTCACCATGCCTGCTAAGGGAATTACAACCAGTCCATCATCTAGTACGGTACAGTCGTTACAGGAAATACCGTATTTACTCGGTAAATCCACTATCCCCGATTAGCCTCTAATCTCCGTATTTCGAGACAGAGCACCCTGAAAAGGAATAGTATATTCTGCTAGGTCTATTGTGGCTTAGTATGGTCATTCCCGTGGCGCATGCCATACTAGCGTGCCAAGTCCCAGATCATGGATAGTCGGTTTTTACGATAATAGGTTTCTGCGACTGTGAAAGTACTAGGTAGCACAGTACATGGAGCCCATGAGAAGGAAATTTTGCGATACTGTATTATAAAAGCAAACTAAACACCATTTTGGCTAATCCCCCAAATAAGAACAGAGAAAATATATGGTAAAACGGTCTCTTACCGAACATCACCGCGCCCGGAACTGCGTTTTATAAGGTTTAGAAATTCTAACTGTCGAACAATCACTGCCAAATGCTACAGCTTGAAGCCTGAGAAACTATGTTTTGTAAGGAAACTAATTTGTAATACATTTTATAAGATTTTATTTCACAAAAGTTGACATAGTAAACAAGATCTTTTGGAGTTTTCAAAGCCGCGAAAACATGGTTCCCATGCATCTCCCTGGCCCATTCCAAACACTCAACAGCGTTCCTAAAGCTCAGCAGCGTTCCTGGTGGTTTAGTATTGTAACAGCGACTGCCGCGACAAGCGCCCTTCTACCGCTGGTATTACTTAGTCTTACTGCATTATACTATTACCAGTGCTCTTCTAGGGATTAGATCGTCTGCCCTCACCCTAGCACTGCAGAGCACTGTACTTACTGTGCACGCTTAAATGTAGTATGATACAAGGAATGGCGACAACCAGACGAATAATTCCACAAATGGAAACGGTTGTCCACCTCAACGCAGGAAAATTTTATATTGCGCTCTGTGATCCTACAACCGCTTATCTGGCGAACCCACTGACCACCCCCACCGGCAAAGCAGCGGAAGCGCCCCTCCCAATACCAACACGAACCCCAGGTATGTCTAGATCTCATATGGTGATGGTATCACATGTTGCGAGAAGTTTGCTGCAATTCTTGAATCCGCCGGCGAACCCAATGAAAAAGTGAAGAAAGTGCGTAGAGAGAAGGGGTGACTCATGGTAATCACGCACTCCCGGTTGGCTGTTAAACATATCGTCTGAACGCAGGATATTTGTGGTTCAGAGATGATAACTAGATATGATATCTCCAGCAGGCTGCCCCCACTAGCGAAAAATGATAAAGCGGAGTGGCGTGCGGTACCGACACAGCATGATAGATCGTATGATAACCTGCCTCCAACTGCCAAAGTTCATAGAAAGTTTCGCCAGTTTAGTCAGTTGGTAACTTATGGCCGACTTTAGGGAGCTATTTCAATGATGAATCCCTATCGGTATCATCCCGGGGTTTCAGTAACCGTTCTGTGAAACGAACCTAAGAGAGAAAACCCTAAGCTATGTCTAGAAGCTTCCTTGGCGACCGGCACAATCAGAATTATTTTGTACTTTTCTGTTGGTGCTTGAGTGCTCGAATTCAGTACAATATCACGCTGCTCAGTAATTCCTCCAGCGAACTCTACTCTACCGGAACAACTGGACCCCTCCATATGTATAACTACGAAGATAGTCAAAATTCCAAAGGCTGGCACCACAAGTTAGCTCAGAGCTGTCGTTAACATAAATTGGTCACCAGGTTTAAAACCCACCTCGTTACACAATGGCTTTGTACGAGGTTGACATAAGGCAGACATGCATGAGCACTTCCGCGAGACATACATTTTTACGGGAATACCGGAAATCGGATAGATGCAATATCGGTGCCATTAGGGGGGTAATTGCTTTTTCTAAAGATTCTTTGCCCCAGCCTATGATACAAAGCCGTACCTGATCCAATGTACGGTACTCGAGTACAAGTACTGGTAGATCATGTGGGATTATTGAGGAATTTGTGGCTGAGCAAATGTGTATTACATAAAATAAATTCTCTTGGCTATAATGCGCGGGGTATGATATTAGTGCGTTTAATGTCGGAATCCATATAGGTAGTATTTTCCCGTTTGGAATAACCATTAGGCAATTTTTCTGTTGCCAGGATATTTGCGATCTGCATGTAGGCAATGATGGCAGGGCATATCGTGCCTCTACGGATTGAATAGCAAGGCTGATGAGGTCAACCTACCCTTCATATGTTACACTTCTGTGTGCCTGGTAGAGTGGAAATGTGGCGAGTGTGCTTGCCTGTCGTATCCGTGATGCTTCGCCATTCTTGGCAGTAAATACGGGGCCATACCGGTAATGATTGTAGAGCACCAGCCAGGATATTGGTTCGGCCCGAGAAATGCGAAGTAACACAAAGTATCCCAAGGATAAAAAGATAATAATGGGGCTTAATACTGTACAGCATAAAAGACCAGAAATGTTTCCAAAAGACTCCAAGACAAGTCAGGCGTCTTGCAGCAGCAATGAACCCGGCAGCTCCCAACGAGACAGAGCTCCAATCCACTCAACCACCCGCTCGAAACCCCAGTCAAGAAACAATTCAGATTCATCCCACCTCGCCCAGAGTCCTCCAAAACGAAGAAAAACAACCTTTAACCAAAGCAGAAAAACGAGCAATATGGAGATACCGTGCCAAACTCCTAGTCGGCCTGATATTCCCATTCTTCCTTGACTCCATGGACACCACAATAATCGCGACAGCCCTGCCACATATCGCAACGTCCTTCAACCAGCTCACCCAGCAGTCGTGGATAGTAACATCTTTCACACTAACCTCCACCGCATTCATTCCGGCTTTTGGTCAGCTCAGCGATGTCTTTGGCCGGCATGCCACGCTACAGTTCGTCATCTTTTTAATGCTGGTAGGGAGCGCACTTTGTGCTGGAGCTCAGAGTTTTGAGATGCTGCTTGTGGGCAGGGCTATCACGGGGGTGAGTTCGGCGGGGTTGTTGGTTATGATGACGGTGATTTTGTCGGACAAGGTTAGTTTAAAGGATAATGCATTGCAGAATACTCTGTTTTCTCTGGTCGCTGGGGCTAGTTATTCCGTTGGGCCAGTTATTGGGGGGTGGGTTTCTGAGATCTCCAATATTGGAATTATCGGGTTTATGCTAACTTTAGGATAGTCAATTGACGAACGTATGAGCTTCTTCCAAGGTGGCATCGAGGGCGCTGCAGTAAATTTCTCGCTAAATCAAAGTAGGTAAATTGGCGCTGGTGTTTCGGCCTTTCAATACCAATCTGCCTCCTAGCACACATTGCCGTGCTTTTTGTCCTGAAGCCAGAACTTGTCAAAGCCCAACGCCACACTGATCCGGAAACCGGCGAGGAGTTATCAAAGCGAACGTTTACGCAGAAAATCTCAGTGATAGACTGGCCAGGATTAGCCCTCTTCCTAGTCTCTTGTATTTCGATCATCCTTGCTTTAACATGGGGTGGGGCAACATACCCTTGGGACTCTCCACAGGTCATTGTCCTATTAGTGGTAGGTGGGATGTTGTTCCTGGTGTTTGTCTGGGTAGAGTACTCGATGGAGCCGGGGAGGTGGTTGGAGAAGAAGGTACGGGTACCTGGGAAGCAGGCGATGATCCCGGCCCATCTGTTTTATGAGAAGGATATTGTCATTTTGGCTTTTTTGAATTTTGCGGGGGGCGCTGGTAAATCTTCCTCCTAATACGGGAATCCTGTAAGAGAGCTGACAATAGGTAGCCCTATTCGCAATGTTCTACTTCATAAGTGTCTACTTTGCCATTGTCGAGCAGTATTCCGCTAGCAAAGCTGGCTTGCAATTACTCTTTTACCTCCCGGGCATAGGTGGTAAGTCTACTTCTTCCCACTTCTCACCTTCCGAACTGACATGGAAACTCCCCAGCGGGTGCCTACTCGGCAATGTACCTCTGCAACATCAACCCCCGCACCACCTTCCCACCTCTCCTTCTCGGGCACCTCGCCCTCCCAATCTCCATTGGGATCCTAACCCCTGCCCTAAAATCCCGCAATAAATCCCTAATATACGGCATGATGGCACTCAGCGGCTTCGGAAATGGAATCGCCTCCATGCCCGTCCCGCTCCACGCGATCGCTAAGAAGCCAGCACACCTCGCCGTTATCGTCGGAACAATACAGTTCTTTGAGCCGTTTGGAGGAACGGTGGCAATGGCCGTAATGGGCTCCGTGTTGAATAACAAGCTTGGTCCATTCGGGGCTGAGTTTTCGAGGGGGGGCGCGGGCGGTGGGGTGAATGCCGGATTGGCGTTCGGGGAAGAGGTGAAGGAGGCTGTGAAGGAGGGGGTTGGGTGGGCGTTCCTAGCGATATTACCGCTTGTTGCAGTGGCGGCGGTGGTAGTGTTGTTTCTTGGGGATGTTAGAATTGATGAAGGGGTAGTGGTGGAGGAGATGGTTAGCGGAAGGGGGAGGAGGTGGGGGGTCAAGGTTTATTATGAGGTTTGTTGTTGTTCATTCGAGAATCCTTGAAGGGGTGTGATTGTTAACCGGCGACAGGTGACGAAGGATTGGATTGTAGGTTTGAAGAATGGCTGATGGGTGTGTAATGATTATATTACGATATTATAGTCTACTCGAGTAATGGTTGGGTTAAGGTGCATTGCCGACTAGAGGGCGGGTTGAAGAGTGCCGCATACTCAAGTAGGGTAGTCCAAAAATTAACTATTCCAAATTTAGTAATAGAGTAATAGAGTCAAGTACTGGTATTTGTTGCTAAGAGCACCTGAGCACAACAACATGCTGTACTGTACTAGTGTGTAAGCCACGATATCATATCATACCTCTTCTGATTTGTCAAAATTGCAGGGCACCCACAACCCTGAAACCTGACTTGAGCGTCGCGAACCAGCCCGGGCTGCGCAATAGCCATACGTAGTCACTCATCCACCAACTTCCTTTAAAAATATTCTTTTACTGCGCAATATTATTGCGGCCACCCAGCCGTCTGAAACTAATTACTAGCCTGAAAAGATATCATAGCCTCTTTTCTCGGGAATGGCTCCGTTTTTATCATGCACGAGGCGATATAGTATAATATCATATCATACTCCAAACAAAATGAGGTGTCTTGTCAGCCTTGCCCTCACTGTAGCAGTGGCACAGTACTGACTAAGCAGATCATGAGTGGATCACTCGAAAATTTAATGCCTTATTGGAAAAAACCTTTCACCAAAACATAACGTATTTCACCCAGTAATGGGTCACCTCCCAGTAATGGGTCACATATCTGCATTTTTGTACTCCACTAAAAACTGAGATTCTACAATCACATTTCAATTTAAGATTCTGTAATTCAACATAGGTCAAGAATTATAATAGATCATGACAATTACAAAATATGAAAGGTTTTAGAAAAGAAATGCCTTTAGAATCCAGTAGAGTAATATTACATGAGAATATTCTAGGTCTCAGCCAATGGTGACATTGCCAGTCCCCTATTTATGGAATAATTGATTAAACGCCTGGTAGATCTGTAGGGATGACTGCCACTAGAGCTGGAAGTTGCAGAATTCAATTTGGGTAACTATTGAGTGTAAGCAAGAGTTTTCAAAATAATAAGCATAATGAGACAATATACTTACAGCTTCATCTTTTTCTTCAGCACTAGATTCATCATTTGAACTTTCAGAAACCTCTGGGGTGACTACCTTGGGTATTGAAGCTTTGATTCTTTTCTGTGGAACCTCCTTTCTCTTACCCTTGGCTCTTCTCTTAATCCTTCCTGCTTTAGCTTTGGCCTGCTTTTGGAGATCATCCCTCTCACACTTCTTATACAACTCACCAAGCACCTTTGTATGAAGAAGAAGCCCACCTTTGATCTGCCAGTAGTTGGGCTTACTTGGCTGTATGGACTCCAGTTGTTTAATCGTTACTTTTTTGAGAATTGACTGAGTTTGAGCCTTTTCTGCAAGCTCAATTGCCTGGTGGAGTAAAACACTTGCCTCATCAAAATCCTCAAGCTCAACTGCCTTTTTTCTGATCTGATCAACTTTCTGAGCTCTACCATTCCTCCCTGTCAAGGGATGAAGACTAGAATATCTTGCTGAAAGAGGAATAGCTGAAGTGGTACTCAATTGTAGGTTTAGATTTTGAGGTACATGTTGTCGATTGAATGGGATCATTTCACTAGTATGCCAAGCAGACACTACATTTGTGGATGTCATAGCCTTCTCTCTTGCCCTCTGAAGCATTGGATAGAAGTCTCCCTTACGTATCTTCTAAAAGGGCCCATAGTTGCGTTGAAAGTCCTCAAGCTCTTGCCTGTAATAGTTGCCTAATGGTGAAAACAATCCAATATCCAAGGGCTGTAAGATATGCATTGTATGAGCAGGAAGACAGATGAGATGAACATTGTTTGTAAGAGCATGTTCAATAAATTCGATGTTGTTGACATGGGAGCTGTGGCCATCAAGGACCAGTATTCTGTATTCCATAATTCCATTTGCTGGATGTGAATGAGGTTCAAAGATTTGATCAAACCAATCAATAGCAATCTCACACGAGGTATATCCAGCCTTGGAGTAGGTGAAGAAGGCATCATTGTCAATCTCGTGGTTGATATTTGAATGGTGGCCAATGAGATGTGCTATAGAAGAGTGAATCATAAGAGGAGCCAATACTCTCCTATCACCAGCAACTCCTTTAATGGCTGTAACCCAGTCTCTCTTACCATCCTGCATTAACGTTGGATTGCATCTTCCAGTGCGGCAGAGAACGGTACCACCAGCACCTAATCCCATTGCAAACCCTTTCCCATCAGTATTCCAAATATTTTCTGGAAGGATATGATATCTGCTCTTCAATATATAAATTCTTTCAAGATGCCCCTTTAGAATAGACACATCTGTAGCTAGTACCCTCTGCTTGTCGATACTCTTGCCAACCTTGGTTTGAATACCTGAGTGTCTGAACAAACTAGTCAACCCACTCCTTTCTAATCTCAGCAACTCTTCCTTTAGCTTTCAAGATTTCATACACCATTTGTAGAACCTGTCTTCAGTGGAGGAGACTACCACGATCATCATAATCTTCAATCCTGTAGACAATGACCTTCTCCTCCAAGTGAGTAAGAAGTTGCTGGGTTTCATGAGCTGCTTTCTGAGGAGTTGTGCGACCTTTGAGATGATTCTGAAGTGTGGTATTAGAAACTCCATATAATTCAGCCAAGTAATATTGTAACCGGTATGGGTACTCAGTTATTGGTTTTGTTTTACGTTTTGTTTTAAGTATCGCTTTGATACTTGGTTTTGTTTTATGTTTTGTTTTAAGTATCGCTTTGATAGTTGGTTTGTTTTAAGTATCATTTGATACTTGGTTTTGTTTTATGTTTTGTTTTAAGTATCACTTTGATACTTAAGGAGTTTTACCAAAGTGTATCGATTGATACCTTTGATTAGTTTCGTTCATGCTAGACATGAACAGATTTATGTATTTAAAGACCGCCTTTTTCTACGATAGAAAAGGCAGACTTCGACAGACAGTATTTCAATATACTTGGTTGAACGGTTACTTCTTTGTTCCCCAGTACGTCCTCGAAGCCACCTTTGGTTCTCAGCTCTCGCCTCCTCTCTGGAAGAGCAGGCCACCTGCCAACTGTTGTATCTATTACCGATAACGTGATTAGCACCCTGCGAACACGTTACATTTTTTTAACCTCAGCAAGTGGTTGAGAACCTGTCCCCGGATTTAGGCCTGATCAACCTATCGATATCCACCTCAGAACACTAGCGGAGAGAAGCGGCAGAATCACAGCACATTCGGCTTCATCTCAAACCCAAGATAGAGTCTTTGATGACCAGGAGTGGGAAGCAAATCCCACAGCAAGACCTTACAAGAAAGAAACAATCCCGGCGCTCTGCTAAAGAGCTGGGCGATTCTGTAAATACGGAAGATACACAACCTCCCGGAGAATTTCCTTCTACTCTAGCAAAGAAGCCTTCCTTTGAACCTCCAATTGAACCCGAATCGAGTAGCGAATCAGATATGGCTAGCACAGGAGGAGGGCCTTCTGGAGGAGGAAAATCTCGGGCTAGGCTTGAAGAAGAGGAGGTACCCGCAGCATTTGAACCCCCTAAGTTTAAACTCCACCTCCCAGCGAAGTTCACAGGAGAAGGAAAAGACCTCAAACCTGAAGCTTTTGACTGATGGGTGACGGAACTCTCACACTTCCTACTCTTACAAGGAAAAGATGTGGAAGACCCTACAACCGGACTTATCATTGGATCATTCTGCGAAGGAAAGGCAACCGACGCATACCATCAATGCTATAAGGAATACAGCGGGAATGTAAGATTAAGAGGAACTACAGTTCTTGATTACCTGAAAGGACGATTCCAATTCTCTATAACCAATGACCTCCTATATAACAAATTCAACCAGCTCCAGCAAGTTAATGGAATGCATGTCAAGCGAATCACCGATGTGGCTACGGACTTGATGATGTATAAGGACTGAATGGAGAGAGGAAGTATCTCCAAATACATCCTGAAGCGACGATTCTACGACACTATGCACCCTACCCTCCAGCGAGAAGTAGAACCACTCGAGGAAGACGGCGATGATATTGCAGTAATAATTGCAAGAGCAGAACGAAAGGACGCCATTCTCCATGAGACCAAGGCCTACAAAACACAGACATCCTCTAGTAGGAATAGCCAGCCATGGCACAAAGCCTCCAGCAACTCTGAAGACGATACCCCACAGGTTTTCAAGAAGAAAACAAAATACTCCAAAGAATCAAGACGGCAGAAAGGAGAATGTTTTGAATGTGGAAAAACAGGACACATGGCAAAGAACTGTCCTACGAAGAAAGGGAAAGGAAAGGCAATTAAGCAAGAGGCATCGGCCAACAATGTTGAAAGCGATAATACCCTATCCAGCGAATATGAAGAAATCCATATCGGATATATCGATGTGGAATGCAATAGTGTTCGACCTCCGGCCACATTCAAAGCACACACCGCTCTGGAAGGTACTATTCTGATCTATAGTAAAAAGGCTCGAGTCCTATTTGACACTGGCGCAATCGGAAGAGATGTGATCTGTAATGCCTTTGTCTCTGTCCATGGACTCCCAACTCGAGACCTTAACCAACCCATACCAGTCAATATAGCAGTAAAGGGATCACAATCCACAAGCCATAAAACCTGTAGTGCGACTATTCGACTTGGTTCTGCAGTCCTACTCCCCCAGGAAATGCTGGTTGGAAATTTAGCCAAATACGATGCCCTAATAGAGATGCCATTCCTGAACCGCCACAAAGCTATAATCAGGTGTGGGGAATCAACCATCGATTTCCCAGATCAGCAGGTCAGAGTCTCATGCAAGCCAACAAGCGGAGAGTACCGAGCCGCAGTCTGAGAAGCAACTGCCCAATGACTATTGGATGAATACTCTGATGTTTTTCCTGATCAAATACCCGAAGAACTACCACCTATGAGAGAAGTGAACCACCACATTCGCCTCCGAGCCCCCTCTAATCTCAAGAACCAACCCACCTACTCTATTCCTGACGCATACAAAAGCCCACTTTGTGATTGGATCAACCAACAACAAAGAAGAGGAGTCATCTACGGGGCAGAAGCCCTAGGTGCCGCTCCTATGTTTGTTCA